TGTATATATATCTATCTATCTCTGTCTTTCTATATATATATATATATATATATATATGTATTTGTCTTTATGTATGTATGTGTACCTATTTTTACGTCTATCTGTTCAACTATCTATACTTAAAAATAATTGTTACATTATCTAATATTTATCTACATTTCGGCCTATACATCTGCCCATAAGTTTAAATATATAATAATTTAACAATCACCCTCATTCATACCCATAGACATACAGCCTTTTTTACTATCATATCCCCATGTTAATCAAATCATTCGCTGATATGTTACAGTCGTGAAGCCTAGCTTCATTCTTTTGAATCCATGCTGTTTTCTTTTAATAGTTAATGTATAAATCATTTTAAATAGAAATAACATATTTTTAAAAATTACTATATATATTCAGAAATGAGTAGGCCAACTGCTTAACAATTATAATTTTCTTGTATGAGTTTGCGATAGAATTTTCAAAAGTTACACTCCAACGTGCACAATGATCATTAATTAGTTTAAATGGCCAATTTTAATATTATTTTTTAGTTATATCATCATTTTTTACCATAATAGGACATGTGTGCTTTATAAACGATGTCTTACATTATCCCCATTTCTATTGTGTATAAACATTTTAAGACTTAATAATTTTACTTTAACATATTTTATTGTGTTTCTTTTTCTTACAAAATATGTTCAACAAATACATTTCTTTAGCTTTTCTTAATGATATTTTTTTCTTTTTTTATATGATGTGATTATTATTATTATTATTAAATGCAATCTTGAATTATCATGATCAAATATATATTTTTATGACATATTATATCTTTTTATCAATATGTAATTAATTGTACTCATTTTTTTCGTTTTAGTTCGACATTGACATATTTTCTGCAGCTAAGAATGGAAATGTTGATATTGTTCAGAAGTTTATAAACACTGACCCTTCGTGTATTAATGATCAAGATAACGAGGGTTACACTGCTTTAATGCATGCATCTAAGCAAGGCCAAGAAAACATTGCAAAACTACTTATTGAAAAGAAAGCTAATATTTGCATTAGGAATGTTAAAGGTATGACAGCCCTCATGAATTCATGTGAAAAGGGACACGAAGGAATCGAAAAAATGCTAATTGATCGTATGGTTTCCATTAAAGGCATTAACATGGTGTATGGAAGTCCTCAAATAAACGTAAAAGAATTTATTAATGAAACCAATAACGATGGCATGACGCCGTTAATTCTGGCGACTAGGGGAGGCCACGAGAATTGTGTACAACTTCTGATCGAATATAAAGCTGACGTCGATATGAAAGATAACTATGGCTATACCGCTTTATTGCATGAATGTCAATACGGATGTGGATTAATCGCCCCGTCATTAATTAGAGGTAAAGCTGATGTAAACATGAAAAATCCTAAAGGAAAAACATGTTTGATGTTGGCATCAGAAGCTGGAAACGAGGAGATAGTTAAAATGCTGCTCAAACACGAAGCATTAATTGATGAAAGAGATGATGAGGGCTCTACAGCTATGATTTTGGCTTCAGAGAAAGATCATAAGAAAATTGTTCAACTTCTTAGCGATTATGGGGCTAGTGTTAATGGGACAAAAAAGAAAGCCAGGTTGACTTGAAAAGCACGTATCTTTATCTTCTTAGCAATAATGAAAAAGTTAACGTTCTTTTCTAAAAGTGATTAACTATTTATATAACGCATGTATGTGGTGAATAATAGTAGATAGTCGCTGCCAAAGCTGCCAAATTGAACAAAAAATCCTGAAAGACAATACACGAAGATATATACGTTTTTTTACAAATGTGTTAATTGATAGCAATAAACATATTTTTTGCCACATAATATTCATTTTAAGTTTATCATTAAAAAAGTGGGAAAAAGCGTGTTTAAAATGTATTATATCTTTAAACAAGATAGGATTTTTTTAAAAAGAATACATTTTTATAAATGTCAATCGGATTAATTTAAGAGTTCCACATAGTTAATTAATTTTCTTTAAAAAGAAATGAGTAATATTTATATTTTAAGATAATTATTGTGTATAATTAAATTTGTATGGTGTGTTCCCTGTTCATTTTAGAGTTGTATTTTAACTTTTTTTTTAAAATATAAAATTTACAAATATTACTATTATTTTAAGGTTTGATTGCATTAATATTTTTAATACCTTTAACTGCTTTGTTATTTTTGCATATACTTGTATATTAAGTGCCAGTTTTCTTTATCATTGACGATACAAATAAAAGAATTAAACATCTTTAAAAATTAAACTGGACAATTTTACATTTTTTTGTTGTTATGTATCGAAAAAAAAATTAATTAAAAAATGAAACGATTGAATGCATTACAATAGTTATTGATTGTATGCGACCTTTGCAGATTTGAATGTCTAAACTAAAATTCTTCATGTATTCAAAATAATAAAAAAAGCATTCTTTTGTTTTCATTGCTTGAGATCAGCTACATTTTGTTATCGTTAAATATTTATTATGTTAAAACTTGAAAAAAAATAATATTAATATTTTGTGTAACTACCCTCTCTGAAGCAAGCTTATTAGAATAGTACAGCACTGTCCTTACACACCGTTTCTATTGGTAATGTTTGTTAATAGAATGAACATAATTTGTAACAGGAACCCTTTGGTGGTAGGTAGTAGGACCCATGGCGTAGCCGTGGTGAAAAGGGGGGGGGGGGCACAGACGAGGAGATTTATGATAGACCTACTCAACTTTCTTGAAATTTAATTGAATCAGTAGTCTAAGAAATGCATTTATATTTTTTTCAAAAAAAGCCAATAGAATAGTACAGAAATGTTCTTACACACCGTTTCTATTGGTAATGTTTGTTAATAGAATGAACATAATTTGTAACAGGAACCCTTTGGTGGTAGGTAGTAGGACCCATGGCGTAGCCGTGGTGAAAAGGGGGGGGGGGTCACAGACGAGGAGATTTATGATAGACCTACTCAACTTTCTTGAAATTTAATTGAATCCGTAGTCTAAGAAATGCATTTATATTTTTTTCAAAAAAAGCCAATCACAATTAATTTATGTTTTGTAATGAGCATAATACTGAACGTAAATTCTAGAATAGTATCGTTTTCTTCAAATATAATGGGATGCGCTCATTGTCATTGATTGCAGGTAGAACACATTTCCAAATTTATAATATTCAATAACGCATATAATGTACACATACATGAAAAAATTCATTTATTCAGATTTAGAAGCCCATAGCTCAAAGTAAACTTAGAACTTGAAAGTAATTAATCTTTGAATTTTTGCTTAGTTGTATACATTAAATAGTCTAAGATGAAGTTTCGTTATTGAATACTGCGAACAAAACTATCTAAAATATATGGAACATATTCATTTCAACCAAACTGAGATGTGAACTGCAAAACAATCTCGTGCCTGATAACACCTAAATAAAAACTGAGATAGGGTGCTGGGATTGGATGCTGAAACAGATTGATGCCGATCAAATTGAGGTGTATTCTAAGGTCGTATTTAATTTATTTATAGCAAAATTACTGTTTCGTTGATGAGCTGAGAAACATAATATGATTTTGGAACACACCATTCACATATTATTTGTGATCAGGTATGTTCAGATTTTTTATTTTGTTTTGTGTTTTAAAAAATAGTTGGTGTGCTGCAAAATAACAAGTGATGTTTTTTTTTAGATCAGGTCACCTGAGGTGTTTTTAGTGGAATGAACTCCAAATCAAATTCAGAGACTCTAGAATGTACAGAATACTGCAGTATGCAATGTATCGCAGATTAAGAAATCTGACCACATCACCTCAGGTCTTAAATATTTCCATTGGCTTCCTTTAGGTGATCGCATTAACCACAAAATTCTGTTTATGGTTTACAGATGTATAGAAGGCTCTGCATTTGACTATCTTTAACAAAAACTGATTTATAAACACGTATCCTTCAAGAACATGCGTTTTTTTTTTTTTTTACTTCTACATATTAAGGGCCCACGATCAATTTATTGATCATTTTGGCTCCTGTGCATGCAGAGGGGATTTACAACGTGTCTATGCCTGGTGTTGATGAGGATATGTCACTAGTTTTAAGGGCTACTTTGAGAAGGTATCATGCACTAGGGGTTGGAAAGCTTGAGGATATAGAAGCGAATGTATCAAGTATTGCCGCCTCAACCGTTCCTTTCAAAAGCTTGTTCAGGTCCCTGATTGTTTTGGGCAGGAATGAGCAGCTCCTATACTTGCTTATTGCTTTTATGAGCTGGAAGTGCATGTCATGGCCTCGTCGCTGTCTATATTTAATTTTCAACACAGTCCTTAATGAGATCTGCCAATGTGGATTGACACAGACAGATTTCCTTGAGAGTGCGCTATTGTGAAGCTATAGCAGCAAAAGTATTAAACAGTTTGCCTCAATCTTTGAGGGAAATTGAAAGTGATTAAAAATTCATTTAAGAAACATTCAACAACTTTTTCTTTAAATAGATGCTAGGAGATGTGAGCGCTGTCAGCATGGTAATAAAGCATGGATACAATAGTATTTAATCAATCAATTTTTATGCTGCCGTTCACACATATTTCTTATCAGATATGTGAAGTTAAAAAAAAATTATTTTCTTAAAGCACTGTTTGTGTGGGTTTAGTGTTTCAACAACACGGCTTGTCAGAAATGTCGCTACAATCTCGAGCAATACAAAAGATCCACACAAAACTATCAGGGCACCTGAGTGAGATACATTATGTCAAGTTCAGATTTGTATATTTTTCTAACAGAGGTTGAATTATGTTATTCATTTTGATACATATGTTCAACATAACTATAAAAAAGTAAGGTAACAAGAACATATAAATAGGATGTGTAACAAAGATAAATTCCTTGATAGATTGGAAAATCAAATGACATTCACTTTTAAAATAAAAATTAACATAATTTTAACATAATAATTGGCTTTATTCTTTCAAAAAAATCATGTTAAGATAAAGAAGTTTGCAAATAGTAATTTTTTTTTAAAATATCTATATAACACCCTTTTCTAGTTCGTTGAATGTTACATTTCGCATTTCGTTACTTTAACGTAGAGCATTCCCCTCCACATGTCTCTTTTTTTTTTTGATTTTTACATCACTGACTAAATGTGAATGGCCAGTCAAATTTACCCAACTCTCATTTGAATATGCAAATAGCTATTCGCATTTTATTATCAGCCATCATGAGGCAGCTTTAAGAAATGCTTTTAGGGGTATAAGTTACTCCTTAATACATATAAGCCTGCAGATTTCCTAGGGAGATATAGTTTTGCTATTGGTCCTAGACGTGTACCAGACGTAACAAACTAACAAGATTGTTATCTTTGTATAAAATGAGTACATTAAAATTTGCATCTTTCGAGCATTGTACATTTTCGCAAGCTGTGATGTAAGTTAATATAGTTTCATTTATTTATATTTAATTCTTTTTTCAATATAAATGTAATAGCTTAACTAAATTGAATATTGTTAGTTTCATTAGCTGTGTTATCATTTATCTTTGTATACTGGTTTTCAGAACTTCCATGTGGAAGCTTAAACAGAAAGATCGAAAGACAATAAAATAAAAACATTTTGGTTAAGAGCCTTCCACAGCAAACAGGACAAATGAAAATACGACAAGAAAAAGAAACTAGTTAAACACTGAAGTGATTGCCCTTTTTAGCGCCCGGAGATTGATTTTCAAAAACCAAAATTATAGGAATGAAACAAAAATATATATTATTACTGGGAAAAACAAGTTCTTAGCGGAAAAAACATACTTTGGGGATACAAAAAATATCAGAAATTATAACAGAAATACAGAGACATTGTGGACTATTAATATGATAGTATTGTATTAATTCAATATTATAATATTGGCCCAAAAAAGCTGAATTAAATAGTTTGTCCTTCTCTCTCTCTCTCTCTCTCTCTCTCTCTCTCTCTCCCTCTCTCTCTCTCTCTCTCTCTGTTTTCGGTACAGTGAATCTGTGCCGTGATAGATACATCTAATGTCTAATTATGTTTATCTTCTTTGAAATGGGACGAGACCGGTGAAAGTTAACTCTAATCAATACCAAGAAGATGTTTATACAATATATCCGTTTATGTCACCAGTTATGCCTATATAATTGAGCGGCATCTGCAGTATAAAATCGCATATCAACCAACACATATAAAGCCCTTTTTGATGGTAACAAAGCTTTTAGGGAGGCTAATGTTTTTGGTTTGGAGTGAATAGGGACAAGTTCAACGACAGCTTTTTGAGCATACATTAGTCCCAACTAAGACGGAGGTAACTTTAAACCATTTTTTTTTCAACTAATGAAACAAGGACTTGTAAAAATGAGCTAACGCTTAAAAAAAGGATACTGTTTTGTTTTCAATTTACACAGAGTAACACTAACAGAAATATACGTGTTTGACAGAGCACACAGAGTCATAGAAATAGAGTCGTATTTGAATCATTATTTTAAGCTTATGGGTAATAATTTCTGTGAAAAAACGGAAATTACAATGGTACGGCCACGTTACAGGAAGCAAGGGCTTGCCAAAGAAATATTGCAGGGCACCACAAGAGGAGGGAGAAGAAGAGCAAGACAAAGAAAAAGAACGATAACATCAAAGAGTGGACAGGACTAACACTGGGCGATGCAGTGCGTAGTGCTGAAGACAGAGAAGAATGGAGGAGGATGGTTCACATGTCATCTGTGGCGCCCAAACGGTCCAAGGACTAAGGGACATAAGGATTTGGAGGTAATAATATACATTTAATAGTTTCATCATAAAAACATTTTGTTTGTACATAAACGTTGTTGAGAAATAAAATTTAATTTTCCGACAATTTAATTTTGTTGAGTGGGCCAAACTGATTGCCACCTGATTGTGATGGTTTCCCCGGTGCAGCACGCTACCCAATCATAAGACCAATGCTTGGCCCGGAAATAATCGCTTTACCTTAGAACGTCTTTATAATTTGATTTAAAGCTAATTGAGCGTTAATTATCAGAGAGCAAAATGAGCAACCTAAAAATAATGATTTCAGTGTTTTAAAGCCAATTCATATTTTTTTTTATACAAAAAATTACTTCATTTGTGTACAAGTAAATAATTTTCTATGCATGGGAAAATATGGCAGCTGTATCAAGTCCATATTTTAACGCATAATTTACCGCATTTAAACAATATTTATCTTTTACGTCTGTGTTCGCATCTTTTTGCACAAGAAGTTTAGCAATTTCAGTGTGTCCATTTTTGCATGCAAATATTAAAGCATTTTGACCGTCTTCATTAATCTCGTTAACATCAACGGCCTCTTTGATAATCATCTCGGCCATTTCCTTATGTCCATTTTCACACGCAAACATTAAAGCTGTTTTCCCAGAGATTGTTGTATCCTTTGGGCAAACACCATTCTTTAAAAGCAATTCAGCAATTTGTGTTTGTCCCATCTGTGCTGCAGCCATAAAATAGGTAAAATCATTATGTAACTTTTCCTTACAATCTGCTCCATTAGCTATGAGCAATTCAACAATATCAACGTGGTTATTTTGTATAGCATACATTAAAGCTGTTCGTTTCTTTTTGTCTTTCTTGTTAATATCCGCCCCGTTTTTCAAAAGAATTTCAGCAGCGTTTTTAAAGCCTTTCTGTGCTGCAATGACTAAAGGGGTTCTTCCTTGTAGGTCTTCTGCATTCACATCTGCTCCATTTTTTATTATTAAAGTGCTAACATTATGTATGCGGCCATTTTGTATTTCTTGCATTAAAGCGTTCATCCCGTTTTTATCTTTCTCGTTACCATCATCTCCATGCTCTATAAGCAAGTCTATTACATCATCTTGTTTTTGTTCGAAAGCGTACATTAAAGCCGTCTTGTCAACATTATCTTTTTCTTTTATATCAATTTCATTCTGAAGGAGTGATCTACAGATCTCAAGATGTCCATTCATGGAAGATATCATCAAAGCGTTTAAACCTCTATCGTCTTTTTCGTTAACGTTTGAGCCATTTCTTAAAAGCATGTATGCTGTATCCGTATGTCCATTTTCACTTGCATACATCAGAGCGGTGCGGTCTGCGTGGTCTCTGTCATGAACGCAAACTCCATTTCTGATAAAATTCTCAGCGGTTGAAGTTAGCCCATATTTTGCTGCAAGCATCAACCTCGTCACACCGCCACTGTGTCTGGAACTGACCTTAGCTCCAAGCTTTAAAAGAATGTCAACGATATTCCTGTGATCTCCTCCCATTGCGCACATCAAAGCATTCTTCTTATCCAAGTCCTTACTCTTAACTGTGGCGCCGTTTTCACAGAGCAATTGAACAGTGTCAGCGTGACCATTAGCAGATGCAACCATTAAAGCCGTTACACCACGCTTATTCTTTTCATTAACGTCAGCGCCCCTACTTATGAGTTCTTTCACAGTTGCAGTACGCCCATTTTGTGAGGCAAACATTAAGGAGGTGAGACCGTCTTTGTTTTTCTTTTTAATGTTTGCTTTGTGATTCAACAGTGTCTTGACTGTCTCAGTGTGTCCGGATAGTGATGCTAGCATGAGAGCTGTCAATCCGTTATCATCTTTCTCTTTAATATTAGCCCCATATTTGATTAGCGTCGCGACAGTCTGGCTGTGTCCATTCATTGCAGCGAACATTAAGGCAGAGTTTCCGTAAGCGTTCTTGTCATTAACAGCCGCACCATGTATTTCGGCGTATTTTAACTTGGTATGTTTCTTTATCTTCGTATGCGTTGTACTGGCAATTCCTTTAATAAGCATTTCAGCTATTTCTGTGTGACCATTTTGTGATGCAAACATTAATGCAGTAAACCCTTCCTTATTTGATTTGTTGACATCAGCTCCTTGGTGAATTAGATTTTTAACCGTCTCAGTGTTGCCATTAAGTGATGCAATCATTAAGGAATTTGTCCCAGTAATTGCTGGGTCTTCTACAATTGCAATGCTGTCTGTTGTCGTTTGAGTGATATCATTTTGTCCATGTTGTGTAACTAAATTTAAACGGCGTAAGCTATTATCCTTTTTGCCAGTTCTATTAGAACCATGTTCCAATAACAATGACGCAGTCTCTAGGTTTGTATTCTGATCTGCACACAGTGAAGTAGTCGCAGTCGTATTTGTATCTTTACTAAATGTTCCACCTTTATTTCTGCTTTGTGTTGAGTCCATCAATTCTGTATCGTCATTACTCTTTGTATTGTACACATCAACTCCACCTTTTAAAAGGGATGTCATGTCTTCTACCTGGTCTTCTACCTGCCAATTAACTGAGGCGTCCGTTAAATCGTGTATTGAATTTTTTTCAAACGCTCCATTTGAAATAATTTTGGCTTCAAGTAATTGTGTTTCTTCCAATTTAGCTTCACTGTCTTCAATCTAAAATGAATATATACAATATTAAAGTATTAACAGTATGTCTTATCATAATGCATCTTCAAATATGATATTAAAGAAACTTACAAGTGCAATTATTCTCTTATTTCAAAGACAAATGAGGTTTTTTTATGATCATCCGCAATTTTGGTTACACACTAAGACAACAATTTAACATGTGTGAACTTATAAAAGTTTGCTTTAAGTATTATAAATCAATAGATAACAAGAGGAAAGCAGCAACATTTATACGCTTATCAATTTAGCATATATATTTTCTCCACAGCTCTTAGAAATTATACTCACGGTATACACGTTGCTTGCTGCATTTGCTAAAAATAAACACATAAAACATATATGTTCAACATTGCTTTATTTTAACAATTTCAATGAAATTCTCTTAAAGATAATATATTAGAACCTTGTATATGATAAAATAATCTTTTTATATTCTAAAGAGTTAATGATATAAAAAGTTGTGTATCAGATTGGTCAATGTCATTTCCATGTTTTTGGGGTTTAAAAAAAAAAAAAAATTGTTACTCTGTTAACAGGATAATCAATGATAGTTCAAAGCTGACATTTTAGCGCCCCCTTCTCACAGCCTGACCTCTCTACCGATAGGCTGTTGCGTCACCCAACCGTTTCGACAACGTTTAAAATGTAAAAAAATATGATAATTAAATACACAAGTGATTTTAAATTTGTAAAAGTTTTAAGAAAATATATTCAAGTAAAAGTCAAAGTTTGTTAATTTTTTTTTTTTTAGTTCACTATAAGGGCCACCTAAGTAAACAAATTTATCCAACACGTTAAGACGCTGTCCGCTGATGGTGATGTTGGGTTCAACGTAGATCTTACTGGAAGCTGGCTGATAATTCATCTCAGTCTTCTTTGTGTTGATTGTGAGGCCAAAGTTATTGTTGGCCTTTAGAGAAGACATCAACGCTGTGTTGCATGACGGTTTCTAAAACATCGTATAGGGCACAATCATCCGCTAACTGAAGCATGTTGATGGTGTTGTGTTTGACCTTGGTTTTAACCTCGAAGCCTGCTGAGGTTGAAGGCTGATCAATCGTTGCGAAACCGGATGGGCAAGCCCGTGATGGAGTCCTTGAACACATCAGTCAGCATTGCAGAATACATAATACTGAACAGTGTGGGAACCAGGACACAGCCCTGCATCACCCCGTTTGTGACCCTGAATGCTTGAGATGATAGACCGCTGTCCTGCACTTGGGCCATCATGCCTTCATGCAGCTGACGGATTATGTTGGTGAATTTATCTAGGCTTTTTCATGATTTTCCACAGGCCAACTCTATTGACACTTTCAAACGCCTTTTTCCGGTCGATAAATATGAAATATAGGTCCGTATTTTGCTCCTCCAATTTCTCTTGAAGTTGTCTGAAAGCTAACGCTATACCGATAATTCTGTGTTCTTTTCGGAAACCGCATTAACTATAGGGTAGGAGACCGAGCTCAATTGTGCATTCAGGCGGTTCAGAAGGGCTCAGGCCAAGATCTTGCCTGCGATGGACATCATTAAAATTCCGCGATGATTTTCGCCGGCCGGGCGGTTTCCTTTGTGTTTGTACAGGTGAATTATTAAACAATCTTTGAGGTCTTGTTGTACATTTTCCGTCTGCAATGATCTTGAATAGACGCAATAGCTTATCAGTCAGCGCTGGTCCAACCTCTTTGTAGATGTGGGCATGAATCATGTCGGAGTAACTTTACCAACCTGATGTAGACTCAACTCCGTTGGATGGCGGCACATAGCCTTTATGGAAGACCGCCGGCTCCTAAAACAGATTTTCTTCGGAAAGCTCACGATAGGCAAGCGCTCCCAAGGAGGTAAAGAAAAGCGTTAAAATGACTCACTGAAAGCGGCACTAAAGGCCTTCAGCATCAACCCTATTAAATGGGTCCAGACAGCCCAAGAAATAGCCTAGTCGAGAAATGCTGCAAGGACTCGGGCTAAATCTCATGAAGCCAGTAGGATAACTACAGCTGAGACAAGCAGGCTCGCCCGAAAGAGCAATAGTAGATCACCGACTGTAACAACTATCCCCTGCCCGTAGTGCCAGAGATTTTTTCCGAGCAAGGATCCGTCTGGCAAGCCAGCTACGAGCTCACCATAACCCACCCTCCCCCTGACCGGATGATTCGAATGTTCTAGTTGATTGTGACGGATTACAACAACACAGAAGCTAACATGTTTTTTTTTTCCACCACTAGTCTTTAAAATTAATGTAAAAAAAACGTAAAAAAATAAGAAGAAATATAATCTCTTGAATCGTCATTTTCGTCCCCATCTCATTTGACGTTTAATTTTATCAGCGTCAAAACAGTTTTAATATATACATTTATGGATGGGAACATAAAAGCAAAGTTATTGTTTTTATATTATAATTATTATTTTTATTATTATTATTATTAGTTGGTTCTACATAGCGCAGTACTCCTTCCTACAGCTAGGATCACTGCGCGTCACATAAAAAAATTATAGAAAAGGATACATTTAAAAACAAAATTTGGTGAAAAGCTTGACCTCACCCACCCAGGTACTATCTACCACTATATAGCCATGGACAGCACCCAGCAGACTCGAGCGTTATTTATCTGTCAGAGTGGGAGGAGAATGAGTCGATTGTGTACAATTTAAAGAGAGATGGGTCTTTAAGGCAGTTTTGAAGGATGTGCTGGTCGTCATATTGCGGATGTGTAACGCACCTTTGCGCATTTTATTATTATTATTTTTTTTTATTTTTTAAATTGTAAGACTGTATTGTCATCGGGATATTTTATAAGTATTTTAATTATTTATGTGTGAATAATTTTTAAGCTAGTAAATAGTTCCTTACTTGATTTGTAAACATCAGCTTCTTTGTCTATAAGTGTTTCAATTGTATATGCGACGCCATGAAGAGATGCCATCATTAATTCCCCTGACCCATTATTTGGAGGCATTTCAAAATTTGAAATACTTCCTTCTGGGGTTTGATTAACAGCAGTATGTCCATGATCTGCATCTGAATTTAAAGGGATGTCGCTGCTATAATTTTGATCATTTATTGTTGATCGATGCTCGCATAACACTACCGTAGTCTCTCTGTTGTTATTCTGAGGCTCATTCAGTAGAGGAGTTAACTTTGTATTTTGTTCTTTAACAGCTGTAAAAATTCAATTAACATTTCAGTAATATTGCTATTCGCTGGAACTAATAATATAAAATATACATCTTACACAAATTTAATGGTAAATATTTAAATGAAATCTATTCATTAGATTATTGCGTTAGTATATAAATAATTGTATTTAAAAATATTCAACCTTTGAATAATTTACCTTTAGTATATCTAACTTTAGTTTCAATCTATTTTCCATATTTACTGAATTGTTATCAATCAATATATCATACAAATAAATTTTATTTAAAATTATCCAGTTTTTAATACGCACACACATTTAAAATATTCTCAGCCTTAGATGAAATAGGACAATCAACTTAACATTTGGCTTATGGTTATTTAGTATACACTTTCCTAATTATTTTTCATTTAATTTGATTTAATTTTTTTTTTTTTTTAAATTTCAATAATTAATATTAGGTTGAACGTTAAATGTTTCCAGTCATTAGCTGAATATTGTACATTTGGTGAAATATCGTGTTAAATCGTATAGATATCGAAAACTTTTTAAATATTATTTAATTGTCTAGTTAAGGCAACGCAATTAGGCCACGGGTGTAAAATACGGGAAGGTGTTCATACTATTAAATAAAAATTCCAGATGATGCGCCATAAATAAACAAATGTTTATTTAAACCTAAATTCATCTATATTCAAGAATAGCTTGTAAGTTGTCAAAAATGTGAAGGCAACGAATGTGTTCCTGTGTGTACATTTGGTGTTAACGACCAGGGGGGGGGGGGAGCAGCGAATAAGAGCGCATCATGTCCACACAGAGAGCGTGGCGGATAAGATGTACATAGGAATTATTATTATACATAATTATTTTTGATTTATAGTCTGCATTCTATTTCTTATCAAATTGAAGCAGTTAACTTTGTTTTTGTGAAAGGATACAAACCTGGTCTTCGACGGTTTAAGGTGAGTTTACACACACTAAAGAATGAGAGGGGAAACATTAACATATATTTAATACAAATCTGGCAGGGCAATTGAAAACAATTAAACTAGATGTACTCATTTGACTTATATTTAAATATTTATCACATCAATAATCATAATGATTAAATACAAATTATTGTAAACATATGTGTTCGTAACAATAATTAATAATTCAGTATTATTATTATTTTTATTTGTTGAGAAATAATAGATTAAACACAACTAAAGAACACTGAAGAGCGATAAAGAGGGACAGAAAGGAATTATAAGGAAATACTTGACTTAATGAATAGAGATTAAGAAGTTTAAGTGTCACTTGCAAATTTTGTTTTAAACCCATGTCTGTAAATATCTTTAAAAAATACGTTATTAATCTGTTTTAATTTGTTTTATTACATAACATGTTTACCTGCATACTATTACAGACAATAAGATAATTATTGTTGGAATTCCAGTGCATATTGCTAATATCATAGCCATTTTGTGATGTTTGTTTGGACCTGGAACATTTAAAAAAATATGATCAAAATAATAGCAGTTTATAATGTTTGATTTTAAAAATGAGAGCAAGAAAAACTATATCAATTACAAGAATTTTTAAGCAAATATTTTTTTTCCCTTTCAATATATATTCTAAACGTATTCTAATGCAATGTTAAACTTATTTGGCCATTTTTATCATCATCTTTTGATAATTATGTGCATATAAAAAAAATTTTCTCTTGTCTACCCTTAATAAGAAAAGAACCACCAATTAATATTTAACTTTTAAATATTTTGTTAATGCTCCGCATGTATCACAGCTTTATTTTTACATTACTGTGTAAGCATATTTTTAAAAAAAAAGTAATTTACCAGCACACTTTCTCTTTTTACATAAATTAACAATGTGTTTTATTGTACGTGTAGGGCCTATACTATTTATTGGATTATGTGCGAAGTTTAATTTTTTTTAAATGTATATATATGCTTAGTAAAAAAGATGGCGAGATGAAAATGAAAACTACATATTTTAAATAATTGAAATGCAATTGAAGTCAAGTTTAAACCAAGATTTAAAGTACCATTAAATACAGAGATATTAAAAGAAGCAATTTTTAAATATGATAATCCAATGACTCTAAATACCTCTACTATTTCATCCCCTTTGTGGCCCTACAGCAAATGTAATGTTTTAGCCTGCCTCACCACTTCCTTCCACTCGGAACACTCATCTATCCGACCATCTGGTCGTAAAACCGATGAAGGGTTTCGGACTTCCACATTGCGTCCTTTCACTCATGAGTAACTCATGTTTTTCTTTTCTATGCTTGGAATCCCAGCTGCTTTATTGATTGTTTCCCCATTATCCATCCATCTAAACCTAGTTCTGCCTTTGAGACATTTACCACTGAGATGTTGGTGATGCACCCACTTCTTTTTCTTTCATATGGCATTTTTCTTAGTGCCCCACTTATCGTAGTCTGACTTTTTATTTCTGGTACTTGAGTGCGATTCAGAACAGTGCTGTTTGTTTAGCGTTATCCTTCCATATTCATCCACTGTTGGTCCATATATATTTTCCGGACAAATTTTCCCTCCCATGTGTAAACCTTTTACTGTTGGATATTTTATGACTGATGAAGTGTGCCCTGATTCAACTGATGAATTATGCTCTTATTCAGGCATTATAATATATTGAAGTTAGTAATTTTTCCTAGGTATAATTGTGCCATTTGTTGTTTATACCCCTTAATGGACGATAGTTTTTATAAAATAAAATGATATAGTACTGACTTTTTAAACAAAATAGTCAATGATATTTTATTGTCTTTATTTACCTTTAGACATAAGCTATTTAGACTTGGACACTTACCAGAAAAGCAAAGAACCATCTAAATATATGGGATACGAAAATCTTCAGAAAAATATACGGTTCAGTGATGGAAAATGATATCTGGAGAATCCGTACAAAACAAGAGCTTATTAATTGTACAAAGACACACCCATAGTCGCAACAATAAACAAGACAGACTGCGCTGGGCAGGACGTATTGAAAGGATGCCGGAATTTAGAGCAGCAAAAGTGATATACAGGCAAACAACTAGGGGCAGACGACTCAATGGTCGCCCAATTCGAAGATTGATCAACGATTTATAGAAGGATTTACACCAGTTGGGGGTTTGCAAATGAATGCGGAAAGCCGTAGCTCGTTATGAATAGAAGGATGTGTGGAACAGGTCAGGGCCTTACATGATCTGTAGCGTCACTCATGATGATGATGTCGTATTTTCCTTTGACTGAAATTTTAGGCATTTAATTAAATAAAAATGGTTACAAAGTTTTAAATGAAAATACGTACAAATAATAGCTTTTATATAACTAAACTTATTGAAAATTTTGCAATTAACTGACCTTTAAATACAGTGCAACTAATATTTATAACCTTTGTATCTAATCGACAAAGGGCATGCCTAATTTCTAGTTGAACATCTTCATGTATCAGTCTTTGGATGACAACTTTGTCCTCTCCTGTGACTTTATCGTTTGTATCAGAAGCTCTTAGATCTATAAGACATGGCTTGGCTGGACCAATACATTCAAATTCTAGAGACAAATCGTCTTCATTCAAAGTTAATGTACAGTTCTCTGTATCAGTTACGTTTTGTCCATTTATTGTTAAATGACTGAATACATCAGTAGGTTCTGAAAAAAAGTAAATACTTTCTAAAATATTTATTTTACTTTTTAACATATATATATATATATATATATATATATATATATATATATTAACAAACATTTTTTTGTTTATATATAAAAAATTAATATTTAAATTAAATATAAATAAAAAATAATATCTAAAAGTAAATACTTTCTAAAATATTTATTTTACTTTTTAACATATATATATATATATATATATATATATATATATATATTAACAAACATTATTTTGTTTATAGATAAAAAATTAATAATTAAATTAAATATTAATAGAAAATAATATCACTGGTCAATATTAATTGTATCGTTTGCCCTTCAAATGCGTCAGTTAACTCAATTATGCTGGATGTGTAAAAGGAAAGTAAAACATCGTGGTTAATGCATACAATTTTTTTAAAGAAATAAATAAAACACATACCACATATTTTGGGTAAATTCTGCTCAGATTGAGCTATTAAAGTTAAATTATAGTGCTTTATTTGGCCTCGAATTGTAGCTTGGCTTAGGGACGTTACGGCTTTTGACGTAATGGAGATGTTGAACATATTGTCAGCGATCTGAGAACAGTGGTAATTGCTTCCAGGCTTTTTACTCTGTGTGCAGTCCGATTTTATGTCTACAGAAAACAGCTGGGTAAAAAATGTTTATATTTATAAACATATTCCATATGTATATTGAGATGGTATTTAAGAAAATTGTTTTAAACTTTGTTGTTTTTGTTGTGTTTTTTTTGTGTATCTGGTTTGGGCTCTTAAAAAAATTTCTCCATAATTTTGTTAATCGAATTTTTTTATAAATATTTAAAATGTTTGCGAAAGTAAATTTTGTACAGAAATATTATAATGCACTAAATATTCACCCTATTAAATTAAAATTCAAAGTTTAAACTTGTGCACTTCTCTAAATGATATTGTGGCTTAGCCAGTTTTTTTCTAAATCTTTTTTTTTTAAATTCTCATCATATTTATTTTTAAATAATATACTATGATATTATAGTTGGTTTTAATTTTTTTTTCATTTAACTTTACAAAAATTTTAAATTTAAAAAAAAAAATCATTTTATGCTTTAACAATTATTTTTTTTTTTTTTAAATCACAGTCTTTGACTGTCAATTACATTTAACTACACGCTTACTTCATTATTGCACTTTTTTAAGCTATATAATATTTTCTTATACTTATAGTAATTAGGCCTCATATTAAAATTTTACAACCTACATAATTAAATGCCGTGCTTGTCTTAGGCATTATCTCAAAGATTACAACCGAGTTATTCATCAGCTCAGTTGTTAATAACACAGTCGTATTTAAGGCAAAAGAGTCAATTTCATTTAGTAGTTCATTCGAGCATTTCGTATCGCAGTCTTCTTGTCTGATCTGGAAGACTTTAATGCCTTGACCTTGCAAAAGAGCTGAAAGAATAAAATTGAAAGGATGATAATTATATTTACCATTATTTTTTTTTTTTTTTACAACAAGGGAAAGATGTCATGACCGACTAATATATCATTTTATTGCAAACAATTTTAATTTACTCTATTAAAAAAGAAACCTCTTACGTATAATCGTTGTTATCACAATAAAAATCTTCGTTATATTCAGCATGTCTGATTTTTATAAAATGTTCTGTAAAAAAAAATGAAATAAGTAATTAACATATTAAAAAAGTTAGTTCTAGATTTTAGATATACAATTCATATCTGTATTGGGATTATACAAAAATGTAAGTGAACACTACTGTTTTACTAACATAAAGTTAAAATGTATCTTTAAAAAAATAATATTTAATACCAATCTCTTCTTAAATATATTTGTGTAATGAAGGAAGTAAGTATATTTTTTTTTTAAACTGAACAAAAAGAAATAAATCTTGAAAGGTTAATATGAAATTGTTATCTAATGCTTTAAGCCACTTTTTTCATTACTGTGTCACATATAAAATGGTTACAAATATTTTTTGAAGTTTGACATATAATTCATTTGTTTCCCTTTAATAATTTTGTTAGATTCAGTCTGTTGACTTAAATTGATCACCATGAGCCGTGACATTGCACCTCACATCTCGTGACATTGCACCTCACATCTCGTGACATTGCACCTCACATCTCGTGACATTGCACCTCACATCTCGTGACATTGCACCTCACATCTCGTGACATTGAACCTCACATCTCCCACATTTTGCTGTAATAACGATCTCATCCTTTAATTTGTTGATTTTGTGACGTCAGTCCTTTTCTACGACACCATTCTCTCTCTTGTTTGGGCAAAAAAAAGTATTCGCTCTCATTTCTTCTAAAGAGTGATTTCTTCAGATAACATTTCTAGAATTTTTTTTTTGTTCTGGATTGTTATAACACCCTTCAATTACATAAGCAGACACCCTTCCAAGCGAAAAGAGATGTTTGCTAATTTACCTAGCCTTTTACGAAACTGATTTAGTTCTACAAGCTTGTACTCTTTGTGTGTGTATGAATTAAAGAGTTTTTTAATGAGTTTTTAAAATACTTTTTTACTTGCCGGGGTGTTAGTCTAGATAGCTTTTGCTTCGGTATTTTTTTATATATAAACTTAATAGTATTATTGAATTGAAGATTCTTAATATCGCTAGCTTTAGTAAGCATTGTTTGAGAAACGATCCAAAACCTTAAAACAGATAAAATTTGTAAAAACTATATAAAGGTACGTAACAAAGATATGTAGGCCTACTTATATAAATGTATTTATAAATGTATATACAGTATATATATATATATATATATATATATATTATAATTACTGTGATTCATAAAATTCAATTATTTTCCAGGGTTTCATTTGTTTCATTTGATTTCAGCACTTATTAAAACTTAAAAATTATCTCTTATCAACATACTATTAACATCAAATATAGACACAGCAACTAATTTGTTTTGTTATATTTATTAAATTAACCATCTACATATACAAATGAACATTACACATTTTAAACACATAAAGGTTTTGAGTTATAAAACAAAATGTTATTGTAATGTATACATAGTTTTATATCATTTTAAAATTGTACGTGCGTTTCTTTGAATTTGATTTGGTATAACTCTACACAAATCCATTATAGACTAGCTCTAGGGCAACAATTCATTGTTATTGATTGCATATTTGTCTGAAGCATTATAAAACTAGATTTAATTTTTACCTTTCAAAAGAGGTCATAAAAATAAATAGTTCATATAACTATAAACACCGAAGTAGTGCATCCAGGTATCGCAACTAGACTGGAAAACAGCTTCGTTTCTCTAATGTAGCTAAATTCAGACATACATAGAACTTCCAATGCTCCCCACCTCTAAAGTTACCTTAAGTGTAGTACATGCCCCGATATCCACCCGCCCACCCTTTTTTGTCCACAGATTCGACCTGTTCCATGTACTGCTAGTTATTTTATGATTACCACACAGACCGTGTGTCTGCGTAGAAAACCATGCCCTTCTTATCGTGTTGGCTGCAGTGTGTTATATTGATTTAAAATGCAAATAATAATATATTCCATGATAAGCCCAATAATCCAAGTGACACAACCAAAAATCTATTAAATAAATGAATATTCTAAGGTCAAAAGTGGATATGCAATTAACGAACTGTTCTTTAAACTAAATCCAATAATCGATAAAACAATTTAGTTTTTATAATGTGATACTTGAAGAGAATAAGTGTATTGCCCAATAAGCAAATCTTATTTAATAAAAATCAGCCAAATGGTCTTCCCTGTAATATAAGCAAGAGGAGTATACATTGTATTACTTCTGATTATTATATATTTTATTAATATTGATATTGCATTGTTATTATTTTATTATTTTTAACATACCATGACAGTGGCTATTTTTTCTTAATATTATTTTGCTTTTATTAAATTTGTTAACAAGAAAACCAAGCAAATTTTCAACAAGATAATTCGTCATTTTGTGTTCCAAAAATCGTTTAGTCTTTTATAAAAGTGAGGTAAGACAACAACCTGTTTCGTTTTTGACTTCAAGTTTGAGTACGAGTTTGTCACCCTTTCCTTAATTTCTTCGTGACTTGCTTTGTTGTCCTGTTCAACTTTTCATTGCAGCGTAATGTTAGGCCATGTCATTATCATGCATGCCAATTTAAAGTTAGATATTCCCTTTCAATAACAATTCCCACGTACACTGACTAGGTCCAAATATAAAATAAGTATAAGAAATGTTTATGATATGTAATTTAAGCTATATTGTATGAGAGTTACTTTAATTCAATTGTTTTATCGTAGATTGCAATTTGGAAGGCCTGCCCTGACAATGTAATGTTTATGCTTAATAGTTTTAACGTTTTGGGTTCCGTTGTTCATTGGGATGGTATTTGTAAGAAGCTCTTCTGGTCGAAATTTCCATGGCCTATTTTGAACTCCGGTGATAAAGACACGAAGACTTCACTCAGTGATTTTATTTGTTGGCCAAACTAGGCGTTGACACAATCAAAAAGCACAACACTTTCATAATAATTGACAAACTCTCTATCACACACGGTTAATTAAAAAAAAATATTGCATGATGTACCCTACCCAGTGAAATAACTGACGAATAAATGTCTCTAATTCTGATTACAAATTCCATCTTTGAATTTACTTTAACTCAAATACCAATTTTCACTACCTTCTTCACTAATTTCCACTGCTAGACCCAAATTTACCCCCTATTCTCACCTTAAAACATACATTTAACCGTCTTATGAAACAAATTATACCAGACTTCACCCTCATGGGTATTGTAATATTGCATTACTAACAAAATTGCTTTCCTGGACCGATCTTTTAACATGGTCATTTATCTCCCTATTTTGTGTATGCTTTAAAATTCTGACTTTCTTTTTGATGGAGCACTTAATCTAACAAATAACATGATTTATTCTAAGGAACTTAAACTTCATGAGAACAATAAATATGCACTTTAAATAACTGTTCCTTATTTCGTTTTCCAATATATTTTAGTTGTCTAATAACAACTACATGGTTTTACTCTAAATTCCACAAATTACTTGAAACCCTGTGCCACCCACCATGTAACATAGTCACATACTTTGTAATAAAAAAAAACCCAATGATATAATATTATTTACTACTAAGCCGGAGAAATCGCGGGTGTATGGATCTTCAGGTAACGTGAAGATGGGGGAGGATTTTCTTCGCAGGAAGTATTCAAAAGCTTTAAGAGACCGGGAAAATAAATAAGGAAGAGAGTAATGTAGTTGGTAAACTTTGTATGAGACATGAACATGTGTGGGTTTGACTTAGTCACTAATAATATACTTAGTCATTAGACATAAAAAAAGCTATAAGTAACTGAATCTATTGTAACTCAATACATTAGAAATGTTTATGTTTTTTTTTTCTTCTTTAATAATCATTAATCATCGTTAATCAATCCGCAAGAAACTGTTGTATAATGTTATACTTAGCACAAATAATGAAAATGATTAGGCATATATTTAATCTATTTGGAGTGATGTGTGCATGCATGACGATTACAGGTAAATATTAATAAAATAACTTGAGTTTAAATTTAAATAAAGCAAATAATTATTATCCTCAGGTTCATTAAGAGTTATTTGAGGTTAAATACATAAGATAAATACAAAAAAAAAAAAAAAAAAAAAAAAAAAAAAAAAAAAAAAAAAAAAAAAAAAAAAAAAAAAAAAAAAAAAAAAAAAAAATAAAAAAAAAAAAAAAAAAAAAAAAAATAATAAAAAAACAAAAAAAAAAATATAAATAAAGCAAATAATTATTATCATCAGGTTCATTAAGAGTTATTTGAGGTTAAATACATAAGATAAATACAAAAAAAAAAAAAAAAAAAAAAAAAAAAAAAAAAAAAAAAAAAAAAAAAAAAAAAAAAAAAAAAAAAAAAAAAAAAAAAAAAAAAAAAAGAAATGATAACTAAAGCAAAACCAAAAAATTAATAACATTCTTTTATTCAGCAAAATACAAGAAAATATTTTTGATTGCATTGTACATTTTCAGCAAATAAAAAAAACAATTTGAACACAAGACATCTATATTAAATTATATCACTAATGAAAAAAAAAAGCCATCAGCGATCTCTCTTAGTCATATCTTTGACTTATTAAGTACCATTTAGTTCTGTGGCTTCTCCTGGAGAATTAATTTAAATATATGGTTTTAACTATTAATGTAGTATTAATTTAATTATAGGGTTCAGGGCAATGCGATTAAATGTTTGTTAATTTATGTAACAAAAATGATGTATATAAAACAATAAGTTGTATGTTTAGTCAACCATTTTGCCATACATTATTTATTTTAAGCGTTAATGGTTGTTGTTCCGAAGTTTTGTAGTGTTGTTTCGGAAGTGTTGTAAAATAATTGAAGGGAAAAATGATTTTTCTTCTGTTGACATACACATAACGTAAACCAGTTTATTTTAGAAAATGTATGCAATTCTTAACGCACACAGAAAATACTTTGAAAAAATTCATACATTTCTTAGATATTTTAGTGAAAGGGGAAATGTCTTGCCCTCCAGCTGAAGAAAACAAGAATCACAACATAAGCTTTATGCTCCCTTTTAAAGGAGAGAACAATGATATCAGAATAGAATCAATGTATCAACATATTGGAACATGTCACCCAAAAAGTCAAATATGTACAAAATATGACACTGATAAATTTAAAATTACATTGACCCAACAAAAAGATGACCTGGCTGTTACAGTTTTGATTTATAACATCAGTAGTAACCATTTGGCAACAGAAAAGCCATGGTTTATCGCATATTATGAGAACTCAATTATGGACAATAAAAGTATATGTAACATAACTGTGTTCGGTAAGTAAATGTATGTTGCTATAACGTCCAATACAAGTTTAAACATTTCTTTTCTATGAAGACAACGTTATTGTAACTGCTAGAGAACATAATATGTAAATTCATTTTGTTTGGGAAGAAGTACATTTTCGATCTTAGCAATAAATTGTTGTGAACTAGAAGGGAATTTAAATTTAAAAGATAGACAAATTTAGAAATCATTTGAATTTTTTTTTACAGATATGGAATTATAAATTCTTCTTAACTTATAGAACGATAATAGTATCGATGAAATATAAATTCTAATTCCAAATGGCTATTACAAGGAAGTAAATATTAATGCACATGTTTTTGTTGTTATATAAAAAAAGTCCTCCTCTGCTTATTATATGTTCGTAATTTTATGAACATTCCAGCCAAACCCGAAGATATCAGATGCATTAACAGTATCTTTGATGATGCTTTCTACGTGACTTGTATTGCGCACAAAATCTACCCTAAGGGACTCTGTCTTCATCGGATGAGTATAAATAATGTGGGCTGAAAACAAACACTTATTATAAATAAATGTGATCTCATTTAAAACGTATTTTTGTTTACATATCTACGTATATTGTTTGAATATATTGTTGAAATTCATAGTAATTACTTTTTAATAACAAAAGACATATATAAATCAGGATAATTAGATTGTTACTGTATCGTATTTTTGTTCAAATATAAATGTATGAAATATATCATCAATGCTATCTGTTATACTATTAATGTTGTGTATTGTCCCTTCGTTATCGCTATGAAAAACCCATGTTTATAGTACTCAGACAAAAGGACCATATTTTTTGTTTTAAACTTCCCATTAAAGAGCTATGCATGAAGCTGTGCAAGATGTGTTAGCTTTCTTTAGGTTATATATAAGAAGTGCTAAATATAATATCTTGTTACAGTCAGTTACAAAACCAATATTGACCGAAACCTGCAATACGAAAAGAAATGGTGATCCATGGTATTTCACATCCAGTTGTACGTTCGGTTTACCTTTGTCACCATTAAGATCTGGAATAGTAACAGTTAATGTAACATTTTATCCTAATGTCTCCAATGATGAGTCAGTCATACAGTATGGGACGGAGTTTTTGCACTCATTTATTTTAGGTACGGTATGTTGTTTTGAATTTGTGTTTTTCCGTTTATTTTGTTTTTTCTATTTTAGATGTTTTATTGAAATTTTGTATTTCTTTTTTTTTCCAGACATTTCCCATATTTATTGAAAAAAAAAAAAACACTAGTTGTTTAAAGACACGTGTGTAAAGTCACCATTTCCTTTTCTAATATCAATAAAAAGTTGATAAAGTATATATTTATAAAGATTGTGCCATACCGAAAAAGTGTACATGATTTTTAACGTGTTTGCATTTGTTTGGCATTTTTATAATCACTTAAAATAAATTATAGACACATAGTACGACCAATATATTTATGTTAACTACAATTTTCTGAACAAAGAATATTGAAACTTTTCATACATAAGTTTTCCGTAATACTTATAGGAACACTACGCCCGAACTTTAGTATATGAATGAACTACATTTGAGAACTAATGACAAAGAAATGTCTTTTAAATTCAAATTGAAACCTTACAAATGTATTTTTATATGGAGCCTATATGGTGCTTGCAACCCAAAGCCTGTCAACTTCCCACACACACACACACACTCGTATTAAATATTGGAATATTGTCAAAAATGTTGCATGACATGGCTTATTGTAAAGCAGTTTAAGAGAATACATACATGCTTATTTAGTTATTTTTTTTTAAATAAAAAATTCGTATCTGTTAAACTTATTTAGGGCATTTCTATTTTGTGTTTTGTTGTAAGTTATATAGTTAGGTGCCTGATTCTTGATTTCTTAAAAATTTTACACTTGATTGTGTTTGGTATGTTTAAATGCATGTGACAAAATATTTTTATGAAATTTAAATATACTTTTATGCAATACAACTAAATGATATTTCTATGATATTTAACTTTTAGTTAAATAATATAAAAAATCTATAGTAAAAATGTATATATTATAGAATTAAAACATAAAAAATTCTTTATTCGAAAAATAATGGTATTTTAGTGAAGTTATACTTACATTATGTACTTCTAAAACTTGTATTTTTTAATTTGCAAATAATTATTAATTTATTTTATCGTCTAGGTCCTCCAAAGCTAATGATCGCAAAAGAAAGCCACACACCTCTTTTGCTGAGAAAGAATATAAATCTCACTTTTACAGTTAAAATTAATATGATCTGCTTCCCAAGACCCAGAACTTATCGTTTAATCAGAGGGAATTCTGCTGAAATTAAATTTGATCGCGTCAAAAATGGTAATGCCATGTCGGATGGTTATGTGATAACATTCAGAGATGGTGAAACTTCCTACGGGACATTGGACTTGAAATTCACCACTCTTAAAACTGAGGACGTTGCACAGTTTCTTTTCATTATTGACAATGGAATAAGTCCAGCACTAAATTATTCTTTTTCAATTGAGAAAGGTGTGTTACATAAAATGGAAAGACAATGTATTAACATGTAATATGTAACCTAAATATTTAATTTAAAAAATAATTTATGGTAAAAAAAAATTACTTTAGTCTGGTTGAAATAAGTTAAAATTATTCAATTAATACGAATAACAATATAAATGAAAAATACCATATTTAACAAGAAAAACGATTACATGTTTTTTTTTTCCACAGATCAAATCGACAATGTGTCCAATGTTGTAAAAGTCATTGTTGCTGCTAACGTTTCTGTTTTTGTTTTATGGATCATTTACGTGATGTGTTCTTGGAAAGGGAAAGGTATCATTCATTTTAACATTAATTCTTAAATCAATTTTTTTCATATTATAACACCAATTGAATTGAAATGGATTTTATGTTATAACAATTTTGGAATATATTCCTTGTGACAAAGCCTCAGCTTCCTTATGATGTCACTTTAGAAAGTTAATGAGCTAAAAAGCACGTACTTTGTCATTTTTACTAATTAAATAAAAATTGAATTTATTGATCTAGATTTTGTTATAACGTAATTATATTATTTATTTACTTTTTTAACTTTTTTTTTCAACTTCAACTGTCATTATAAATTATAATTAATTTACGCTGAAATCGAAATTCGCATTGTCATGTATTTATTTATTTATTTATTTCAAATAGCGTTGAAATTTACACCCAATCACCGGAGAGATGCATCACATCTTGAAATCGCGTTAAGTCATCGAGCAGTTACCAACGTTGAAGTGATAGAAGATTGTCAGCAAACGAATATTAGAAGAGAACATAATTTGAAAGAAAATTGCCTCTATGAAGAAATTGACCAGCATCAAGTTGATGGCACATATAACTATAACACTTTTGCTGAACAATCAACAGAGATAGGCAATCATTACATCACGTTAATCGAAGAAGACGAAGCTGAATGTCATGTGGAGAAATCGACAAAAGATAATATCTACAATACTGTCATAAAAAACCCGTTATCTGAATCAAACACGTACATTACTCCAGTAGATGAACCCAATTTACGGGGAAATAGCGGGAACAACGTCATTGATAGTCTGCCCATAGACAATGACGATTTTATTTTACCTTTGAACAATTCTCCAATAAAAGTCTTATATTACATTAACCCCATTGAAATAGCGGCAGCTGAAAACACTGAATATATTACTCCTTTAGACGAGCTCTCTTCAAACCCGAAGTACTACATTAAAGAAACTGGAGAATCGTCAGCTTGAGACAGTGACAACAGTAGGCAGTTAATCTACTGATTTCACACATCACAAAAAAAAAATTATAGATGAAAAGTGATAAACAAATATAATATATTAATAATATGCATGTATTTTTTACTTTATGAAGTTTCCAGCAAAGCCCGGGATGCACTTGTACCAATATAAAGGATCTTTTTGATTCTACCTAGGAATGAACAAGTGCAAATTGAATGGAGATCTAGAGAATGGCAAATAAGTGATTCCTTATTAAATAGTTTTTTAGGACTTTGCGCTTTCACCATTTATATATCTACTAGCCTATATACACGGCGTGACCCGGGATTGCATTAGGACTTCCTCCTGTTGTGACCCCGATCCCTCTGGGACCCCGATCCCATTTTGACACCGCTCTCAGCACATTCCCGTTTCCCGGTGTGATCCCGATCCCGGTGGATCCATTCAAATTTAGGATACCGATTCCAAAGGGATCCCGTTTTCTGGTGGGATCCTGATCACATTGGGATAAAAACTATGATGGGATCCCGACCCATTAGGGATACCGTATCAAAAAATTATTCTGTGGTACTAAGAGAACAGTTAACTCCGGGGCAGTATAGAAATGAATAGAACTATTTAACATTTGAATAATCCCTTAGATCCAACTATTTTTGCCCTTGTAACAATTTAGAACTTTCTGGAATATTCTAGATTAAATTTAATAACCTGCTTGAAACATGTGTAAAGACTACTTTTCTAATTATTTTTTTAATCCGATAAAAATCTTCAACAAATGCATTAATTATAATCCTTTTTCTTTTAAGTTAATGTAGGAACCCCGTGTGGCCCATTCCATAACCGTACCGATTTAGTTATGTCTGAGGTAAGAGGGGGGGGGGGCTATAAAAATCATTCAAGTATATATTGGAGTTAAAATTTGTCCCATCAAAATAGGTTTTAAAATGCCATAGAAATTGCCTTTTTGAACTATCGAACTTTCTAGAAAATTCTAGATTGTCCCTGCATGGATTTGATTTTCTAGTTTCAAATCCTTTTCAAGAAGCGTAATGAACAAAGCTAGGCTTAGATCCATCAATTTACATAGAACCTATAGTGTTGTTTAATCCCAAAGGGATGGATATTATGAGTTCAATACCCTTCGATATTTAAATATGGATGATTAAGTGTATGTGTAATAAGTTTAGTCAAGATCCATCTATCCATGTAGTTGTATTAAGCCTATTGATATTTATATAGCAAATATTATGGATAATCAAGTGCATTTGCACTAAGTTTGGTCAAGTTCCATGTACTGATGTAAGATTATTTGATGTTAATTTTATTTATAAAGCTCATATAAGGAAAAAAAAAACGAATTCGGTGCCCCCGGCCCCATACGGAATGTAATGAAAAGTTCATAACCCCTTGAGAGTTCCTTCCGGATAATGATGGATATATGAAAAATGTATGTGCCAAGTTTGGTCAAGATCCATCAATCCATGTAAAAGATTTTGTAGAATAAACAAAGCCACAAACCTGCAAACTTTCACTAGTATATATATATATGGTGTGTGTATATGTACACTAATGTATATATTCCCTATTTCAAGTAAACAATAGTTAACACCCTTACATTTTCGGAACACTTAAACCCCTCTCAACTTTTCTCCCGCTGTTAACCGGTATGTAGGCAATATTCAAAATGTTTCTAAGACACTGTGTTGTAATCAACATCTGTAAACGCTAATTATTAAACAGAACTATACACAAATATCTTTTTTGAAAATAATAATTTTTGGTTGATCCCGAGATTGAGGATGGTTGACATGTGTTTGTAAACTTTAATCAACTTAAACAATAAAAGGAGTTCAAAATACGTTTGGCTTCCTCAACATCACAACCCAACGAAACTCATACACTTTAAAATGAGTCAGACGTAATTCAATGAGACAGCTTTAAAGATGAGTGACTTTTCGAGACTGAATGGCCCTTAGGATAAAGACGATCCATAAAATGTTTTAAATAATAGGGGCAACCAAAATTATTCATACTTTTAACTATTTTTGGTGTTTAGAAACAAATATATATTTCTTATGTCAAACCTTCTGTATCTTCACAACCTGTATATTAAAAATATTTTCAAATCAAGTTGTTGGTTTTTCATTGTTAAATATTTTAAACCTTTATTTGTGTAGACATTAGCCCTAATAACATTTTATTCTCTTCAATTGCATGTGTAAATAGCCTAAAATGTTAATCAATATGGATGCACACAATAATTGTAAATATTAAAAACGCTGAGTACATAAGTAATGATTATTTTTTAAAAAATATACATATTGTGTTTGTAAGAGTTAAAAAATAAAACTTTGAACAAACACACTGCTCAAAATTTTCAAATTTTTATTATTTTTTTATTTAACAAATTATGAAATTTATTCATGTTCAACGAAAATGGTTACGAATTTCAAAGCAAAAACTTAGATAACCTTAATATGACACAAGTTTACAATTTTACATATGAGAAAACAATATATTCATTAAAATACATTTCTTCAATTTTAAATAATAGAAATAGTTTAATAGCAATGGACATAAGTAAAGTTTGAGAAATATCAGGTGATAAGTTTTGAAAATCTTAAAATTTATGTCGATATATTATGATACAATTTAAATTGTTGTAAAATAAAATATAAATTATTAAATAGAAGGAATTTATAATTGTTCTGAATTTCCAAAATTTAAGTGTGTCTTTGTTTGCCTGCAATTTTAGTATTTCTTTTGTTTTCATATTTAATTATATTTCCTAATATTGAACAATTTTCAGGATTAAAAAGTAATAAACATGCAGTAGAGAAATCCACTATAATTAATTTAGGGATCCACAATTTCCATTTGTGACAGTCCATTCAGCTCACTGTCGGGTAGTTGCTTTTGAAATTCCGTTCACATTATTTAGGAAATCACTTTAACAATTTACTCTGAATTTGATACCCGTTATATACACACACATGTACTACATTTGCAAACAACTGTAAAATATTTTGTTTTCTTGCAACTTAAAGTAGTGCATCATTTCAAAAAATATATTAATACATATAACGAAACATCATAGATGAACCGACTTATTCCGACCACCAATAAACACTGCCCTGTTCCTTTAAAACTACTGTTACAAATGTTCTTTCTCCGTCCTAAATATGTCCCATGTATAAGTATACAACACGTAAGGATACATAGAGTTTCGTATGTAATTATATTGGTGTCTTACTGTGTCAAAGTATGTACATTATTCAAACCTTTAACTATTCCTCTGCTACACATTTACATCTAGCCTTTTAATCAAGTAATTCATTTGTTGTACCTAACCTTCACAGAAACTACCTTTTGTTTCAGATCATTACAAAAACCGGAAATAATTTTCCACTTTCCCTGTCCCCAATATTACCGGCTTCCACTCACCACTGAGGGAACCTCAAGTATTATGCTCAAAATCACGCCCAGATTTAAAATAGAAATAGAAAATAATCCCTGGTCGTTATTGTTTAACAACATTTTGTCGGCGCTGGCTCTGAGATTAAAATAAATATCGTATGTCTTCCTTGGTCATTCACTTCCCATGGTGGAAGAGTTTTAAAACGGAACTCTGCATGGTGACGTAAGGAACGTTTGAATTTTAAATTAAGCAATACATATGGGTCGTTACATTCCACTTTGTAGAATATAACATTGACTTTCAATTATCTTTTTTTTTTGTATTGTAATACCTAAAAAAATCAATGGCATTGATTCAGTTTTAAAAAAAGTCAAACCCCTACTATCCCCCCCCCCCCCCACCCCAAAAAAAAAAAAAAAAAAAATTTATTTTAAATTATTTTTTTTTTTTTATTTTTAAAACAAAAAAAAAAAAATAAAATAAATTTAATTTAAAAAAAAAAAAAAACCCTCTTACCCCCCCCCCCCCTCCCCCAAAAAAAAAAAAAAAAAAAAAAAACGCAATTTCTGTCTCAGGGACTTAATATCCCCAACCAGTATCAACGCAAAATCTTCAAAGGATTCTCAAATTGACCAATTTTTCTGGAATCACTTCCCAAACCTACCTTAAAAGTTTTCCATTCATCTTAAATAAGGCTAACGAATACACTTTTTGTAGCATAATCTTGTCTCACTTTGCAACGATTTAACTACTATTCATACTTTACAAATGAATTTTCATTTGGTCATTTAAAAGATAGGAGTATCTACATCACTTTGCGGTAGTCAACGGTTGGTAAATCATTTACTAATTAACATATAAATTCAAGGAAAAGAAAAACTTCGTTTTAATTCCCATGCTTTTTGGAGGTCTTTGGTAGATTAATATTATTACATTATGCGTACTAGTCTTTTTTTTAAATTTTAAAGTTCAATGCACAAAATGTCGATACTTTATTCAACATTTTCTAATTTCAATATAGACATTTATCGAACATATAACCATAGAAAAGAATAAAAATGAAGAATATTTAAAAAAAAATAACTTTAACGAAGTACTTATTAGAAAAAAAAATGCAGGTTATTTTACCTCCCAATACTACGAAAAGATTATGAATTTACCCAACAATGCCGTCTCTCCATAAAAATAACAAAAATGAGCTAGGAAGACTGAACCCCTTCTGAATCAACGTTCCTTGGCCACTGGCTCAGATTGTCCGTTGAATTATTATTATTATTATTTTTTTTAATTTATTTTTTTGCAATACCCTCACTAAATATATAAACTAGTAGACGCATCAAATCTACAAAACAATTTAAAAATCAAAGAAAGGGGAATGCTGTCCTCTCGGAGTATACATTTCAACTAATTTTTGTAACTTTCCTTATGTAATATGTTGATGGTGTTTGTTCACTAAAGGAAGTCTTTTAGATGTATTCAAATGTTGTGGAGAATATGAACAAAAACACAAAAAAGGCTGACATAAAACCACAAACGACAAATACATTCATGATCCAAACCATGATTATGTATGTATGTTTTGCAATTTGATATTTTTAGGCCCTTAAAATGAATAAACAAGCACACTTTTAACTTCATAAAGCTTTTGTTTCTTTTAGTCATAAGATAAACGAGTCATTTAGCTTCTCATTGATATCTGACTAAGATATTATGCCAAAATTGTATACACTGAGTCTCTACCAATCTTGTAGTCTAGAGTTAAATTCCCACCAAACACACAATCAGGAAAAGATATCAACAGCACCCTGGGTGGATGGGACCAGTTAAACTTGTATGTCAACCGATCTAAGCGAAGAACAACTCTGAAGTAGACACCGAAATGGCATCCTGTAGTCGTATAACATTGATACATTTATACATTCTTACAATTTCTACTGCGCTATTAATGCCGAGCTGTATCATCCGAACATGACGTTTTCTTGGGCTATCCAGGTGCGAGGAGAGAGTCGATGTTCTGTCCAGAGAACAAGCTCATACTTCTAAATAAAAACCCTGCAAATTCTACACCATTATCATATTATGACAAAAGTATGTCATAAATACATATATATATATAAGAAATGCGTTTTAAAACTTCACCAAATTAAATGTACACTGTAATAAATTCATCATCTTATTTGTCATCTTGTAAAAATAATATGGTTGTTCATTTGTTTCCAAAATGTCATATGTTAATTGGGTGAAAAAATACGACGTTCCAAAAAAAAAATTTTTTTGCACAATTACAACGATATATTTACATTAAAAATTTAAAAAAAAAAAAATACATACAATTATACAAAATCTCTTATAATATGCACCTATAAAAGAAATTTGTCAGTGGAACAACACATCCGCAATAATTTACAGCCATTAACTAAAAACCTACTTGTTGAAGTCTTCGATATTTACCCATTTTAAAAGGGAGAAACATTTTCGCGTTAGCAGCTAATCTTACGTGGTAAATGAAAATATGAATAGATCTTTGATCCACCATTCACCATTTTTTATCCAAATTTCTGCATGTTATAATTATTTCTCTCAATTCATAATGATTAAGTTTTTTGGTAATAAAACTAGGAAATCATTTCACGCTTTTCCTTTACACTTAAGTAAATTCTAGATACTTACTGTACACTCAGTTATTGAAAAGGACTTTTTAATTAATCTATCCGATTATATATATTAATCCGCGTGATACAAATTATTTACTAAAAGAATGGTGCTAATTTATACTTTTTTTTAAAGGCAATACTTTTTTTGTAACATCTGGTTTGTAGGGGACGCCCCGAATTTACAAACTTACATAGAAGGACAAATGTCTATACTCCGAAAAATATAATACATCATAAGAATAAATGCCTTAATGGATTTAATGACACTTGACTTTATTCAGCGGACGTCTTTGAGCTTCTTGGAAGAAGGAGAAACAACTAAGAAAATTTAATTGAGTCATTGCTAAGATGACTCATGAAAACCCAAATGTATACTTTTTTTCACTCTCCTTAATTTTGAGGAAGTAAATTACGTATGAGTAGTATCTGTCATTAACATGGAATACAAGTATAAGACGGGCGTTTATTAAAGGTTTAGATTTCTACAATGAGAATGAACATAATGATGAAGGCAATTATATGTGTAGTAATTTGTTTCTTCTTTTCGCTAGTTGGTAAGTAAAATATGTGTATCAACAATATAGTCAGATACCTAAAAAGTTAAATATTGATATATGTAAATGTGGTTGTAGAAATATAGAAATATCGATATATACATGTCTTGATAGTCAGCCTTGATGCTGTTCGCTGACGATGACGCCTTAACATCTCATACAGAAGGTCTTCAGGTGCTGGTTAATCGTATATCAAACGCTTGTAAAGAGTTTATACTAACAATTAGTTTACAGAAAACACACGTCATGATGCAAGAAGTGTCATTATACTAATGTTTATTTTAATGAGACTAAGGCCTAAACCTAATAATATTACTAATAAGCTAATAATACTATGTATTCTATTATTACTCATTTAAGATAATATTTTATTGAAACAAATTATTTAATCCTTTTATTATAAATTAAAGACAACAAAAAAACAAATTTAAAATCATCAAAGTAATTGTTTTAGGACAAACTGGACGTACAAAATTTACAAAAACAGTTTACCTTTGCGTTCATAGACATATATTTGACATTTATAATAAATTAAAGGTATAGGAAATTAGTTTTATTAAACGAAACACTTGAATAATGTTAAAAAGTAATACGAAATTTGGTAGATTCATGAAATCATTATATGTTAGTTGTAGGTTTCTAAATTTTAGACACGAATTTGTTTTGTTTACATATGAAGAGGGAATTCCTTCCATCGACAAGGAGACACATTTTTTCCATAGATTGCAAGTAGTCTGAAGAGCAGTCTAAATGGAAAATAACAGAACATCCCCGTTAGCTTTTAAAATTTAATGGCTCAATTACTGTTATGCCTGTATTAGTCTTATCATCTTATACTTTAAGTTATAGCCTATTGTAGGTGATAAGGTAGTGTTTATTTATAATCTCATTCATGAAATATTAAAAAGACTTCTACTTACCTTTTATAAATATAAACATTTATTTAAAATTGAACCAAAGCGTATAATTCATTTGAATACCATAAACATTTTTTGCCTTAACCATTTTTGTTCTTCCATTTTTCAGTTAATGTTTTTTTTTTTTGAACATGCATCCAAATAAAATTATCTGAAATATCAAGTCTTAATGTTATGTAAAAGTTTAATTTTTTTAATGTGTTGCACATTGCACTGATAATGTCTCCTGAAAATCTGGTAGCATTATATCTTTTGAAATAAAAAAAAAAATTTGTGGGCAAAATAAGGCAGACATTTGGAAAGTCGTTCACACGTTTTGGCATTTAAATACAAAGATAAAGAAGGGGTTTTAAAAATTCACCAACAAATTCATAACTTCATTTCTATAAAAGATAGAAAGATGAAATTGGAATTTTTGCAAAGCTTATAAATAGCCACTTTAAAAAATGTAACATTTATTGAAATTGGACAAAAATAATGAAATTTCTATCAAAGTACCTACAAGAAGCACTGACTCCCCCAAACATATTTATATTGAGGGCCATAATCTGTCGATTTTTGAGCATTTCTCATACCTTAGATCCAATAGGTCTAGTTCTCTCTCCGTTGATGAAAAGGTAAACATCAGGATCGCTAAAGCAGCAGCAAATATGACTAAACCGAATAAGCGGGTGGGGAATAATATAAATATATATGAAAAAAAAAATAAGTGTCTATCAGGAATGTGTGTTTAGTACGCTAATATATGGCAGTGAAGTGTGGACCACATATACCAGTCTTAAGTGGAAACTCAACAACTTCCATCAAAGATGTCTTCTTCGCATTTTACGCATTCGATGGCAGGACAAGGTGCCTAATACAGAGGTCTTGGAACGTGCAAAAATGTTTAGTACATTCTCCGCTCTTAGCAAAAGGCGCATTCGCTGGTTAGACCATGCAATGAGAATGGAGAATGGCCGTATTCTAAATATGCTGCTGTATGGAGAGTTGGCAGAAGGGACTAGACTTATTGGACAGCCACGCCTGAGATTTAAGGACGTTTGCAAAAGTAGCATAAGAGAACCCAACATTGAAATCAATAAATGAAAAATCATTGACGAACACCGCTCTAGCTTGTGAACATGATTTTATGAAGGAGTCAAAAAGGCAGAAAATACACGAAACAAAGCCCTCGCAACAAAAAGAACAACAAAGGAAAAATCATATCCAGGATTCAATATTGTCCTGCTAGAAATGCAGCCAAGATTGTCATTCCAGGTTTCGCCAAGTGAGCTACTTGTCGAAGTGTACGACTACATAGCTTCTCAATCGTCTCGCGAAGGCGAAAGGATGCCATATATATATATATATAGTATATATTTTATAGTAGTAGTATATATATATATATATATATATATAGTATATATATATAGATATAATGTTTTAAATTATATGTCCAAAATAATATTAAATTTAAAGTTTCTTATCAGTAAAATAAAAACTAAAACGTGTATCATGTTTTATATTTGTTCCAGGTAATATGTAAGGCTATTTCTCAAGTAATAAAACCATATTTATATAATGATATGTATGTATTATAAAGTAGATGAAAATATAAGTCTGCCTTTTGTGGATTATTTCATTTTATGTTTTAATTTTAAAATAATTCATACATTTCTTAGATATTTTAGTGAAGGGTGAAATGTCTTGCACTCCAGCTGAAGAAAACAAGAATCACAACATAAGCTTTACGCTCCCTATTAAAGCAGAGAACAATGATATCAGAATAGAATCAATGTATCAACATATTGGAACGTGTCACCCAAAAAGTCAAATATGTACAAAATATGACACTGATAAATTTAAAATTACATTGACCCAACAAAAAGATGACCTGGCTGTTACAGTTTTGATTTATAACATCAGTAGGAACCATTTGGCAACAGAAAAGCCATGGTTTATCGCATATTATGAGAATTCAATTATGGACAATAAAAGTATATGTAACATAACTGTGTTCGGTAAGTAAAGTTATGTTCCTATCTATTCTAAAATATGTTAAAACATTACTTTTATATATAAAAAAATTAGTGTATCTCCTAAAAGACCTACGCAGTTATCCTTTTTGTTCTGGGAAACTTTAATTACATCCTAGCAATAAATTGTTCTAAAATGCAATACGGAAATCTACAATTAAAGCTTCGTAACATGAGAGATGATTTATATTATTTTGTTTCTAAAAGGTAAAGGAAATTTTGAAATATTACTTCGTAAATTCTAGAATGGCAATAAATCAAATTAAATTTAAATTCTAACTTTAAGGTAACCATTACTTTAATGGATATCGAAAAGCAAAAAAATATTTTCAAATATACACAAGTAATTGACTACATTCATAACTGTATTTAATTGTATAATAATTTCAGCCAGACCTGATGACATCCGATGCTTTAACAGTAATTTTAATGACGTATTCTACGTGACTTGTATTGCGCACAAAATCTACCCAAAAGGAATCTGTCTTTATCGGATAAACAACGTGGGTGGAAAACATACAATTATAACATATGTATATTATGTTATAAATTTAAATATATTTATACAAATGGCGTTTTATTAAATGTTTTCGCCTTTAGACAACTGATCAGATTTATTAAATAAATAGATATGAATACAAATTATAATTGTTTTATAATTTGTAATGGTACATTTAAAAAAAAAAAAATTGGCATTATTTTTTTTCACTTTAAATACAAAATTAAAAAAAAAATACTTTAAAAATGATATCATATTACAGACAATTACTTGTACAATTTTTTTACTTATACAGGATGAACCAATATTGACCGAAATGTGCAGTACTAAGATACACAGAGATCCAGATGTTTTCACATCCAGCTGTACGTTTAGCTTACCTTTGTCAGAACTAAGTTCAGAAAAATTTACAATTAATGTAACAATGTATCCAAATGTTTCCAATGAACAATCAAATATGCAGTTTGGGACGGATTTTTTACACTCAATTATATTGGGTAGGTTTTAATTGTTTAATTTTGTTTTCATTTTATTATTATTTTTTTTCATATGTGTTGATGTAACTTTTAATTTGTTTTGTTAAGTGATATAAATTAAGTCCTTATAGCAATACATTATTTAAGTTTTAATTATATATTGAGTTTTATCTTCATCTGCTAATGAATTTTAATATAACAAAATGTTCTTTCAAAAAGTCGTCTTTGTAAAAAAAAATTACCATACTTTTTCTAATAGCAATAAAAGTTGCAAATTTATTTGTCAATAAAACATGTTTCATTCTGACATATTATACAGGTTAATTAGTTAATTAACTTTTTTAAAAAAATCCTTTGCTCGCGTTTTTATACTCATTACCGTTATGTTTTTTGACTAATGGAAAGATAATCCGACTCTAAATATGAGTAAATTAGAATTTCATGAATAAAATATTTGAAAACGTGCGTCATTATATTTTAATAAATAGTGGTTTGAGAACCACACAAACGTCGTACATTCAAAATATCGCACGAATGTCATAGAGACTTGAAGAACATACATTTATTTCAGAGCTAAAAAGATTACCCAGCCTAAACCAAACAACACAGATTAGCAATCCTATGAAGATTTTTTTTTTGTTCAAATTTTAAGAAATTTAGATCTTAAATCGTATATATTTTTGTGCCACATATATTGGATGCGTTCAGTTGTAATATTAATCTTTTTTTTAACCATTTTAGTGACTTTTTATTAAAAATGTTATATTTTAAAATATTTAAATCTATACAAAATTATTTGGTATTTCTATGATTTCCTTTTGCCTCGTTATTCTCAAAATAAATTATAAGACAAAAACATGCAAAACTAAGCATAAACTGTTATTTAGTGTTTAATTTGCAAATGTGTGTTCGTTTATTGTAATCTAGGTCCTCCAAAACTAATATACGCCAAAGAGAGCCACACACCAGATTTTCAGACCAGCAATTTAAATGGCACCGTTTCAGTTGAAATTAACATGATCTGCTTCCCGAGACCTAAAAGGTATCATTTAATCAAAGAGGATGGTTCCGAAATTAAATTTGAGAAGGTCATAAATGGTAATTCTGCTTCGGATGGCTACGTGATAACACTCAAAAAAGATGGCGAATCTTCTTCCGTGACATTGTACTTGAATTTCACAATTTTTAAGACTACAGATTTTACACGATATCTTCTCATTATTGACAATGGAATAAGTCCTGGGCTTAATTACTCTTTTTCTATTGAGAAAGGTATGTTATTTATGCATGAAACACAACATGCTTATCCCTTTGCTGTACATACACTTTAACTATTAGGAAATAAATACATAAAACTAAAATAAAAGCAATAGTTTATCCTCATTATATCCGATTTATTGAAAATGCCATAAGACCTAAACTTATTTATTCTATTGCTTTATTTAATGTCAGTTTAATATAACTGAAATTGATAGACATTTCAATATATATTTAACAATAAAATGTTTGATAAATTACACTTAATAATCTGTTTTGGTAATTTTTTTTCTTCATATCTTGTACAGGCAGCATCAATGCCTCAAGTGTTCTTACATTAGTTGTTAGTCTTGTGGCATCATTTATTTTTGCTACTGGATTGTGTCTTTGCTACGTGTGGTGTTGCTTGAAAAGAAAAGGTATCTATATGTACGTTTTAATTTTTTTTATTTAGACCATTCAAACCTTTTGATAATAAAATAACTTATCTCAATATTTCAATTTAATACAATAATTTGTGGATGATTCTATAAGATATAGATATGTATATATTTATTTATATGCACACATATAAGTGTATATATGTTAACTTTTTTTGTTTACATATGCTTCAGAAAAGCTATATCCTTGATTTTGAAAAATGTGTAGAAGTGTAGGTAATATTATTTTCTACAGTATTTGTTATTATTTTTAACGTTCTCTTTAGACGGAAATAGGATAAAATCACAACATCTCTACGAAGATGGAAATATTGAAGAACGGCAAGTTGATTCTATTGACGGCAATAACGCGGCAGATGTAGAAAACGTGGAATACTCAGTCGTTAACAAAGGTAGAAAGAGGAATTACGATGTGTTGGGCAGGTTGTAGAAGTATTTAATATGGTGGATCAACAACTAGCGACTTGATGATACATTAAATAATTGTAGTATATAACGAAATGAACCAATTACAGAGCCTGGGATTAGAAGATTATTACTAAACTGTATTGAGTATTTCCAAAATTAGAGTACATTTTGTTTCATTTAAAATACAGTTGATTTACAATAAAAGTTGATGTATGTAGCTTTCATGATTAGAACTGGCAATGTCAATCAACTTGGAAATAACTACATATTGTGGAAGACACGTATAATATATATGCAAAAAGACAACACACTAAAAGCCAGTGCAGCAAATATATATTACAAAAGAAATTGCATTTCGATTTTTTATGTATACAAATTGGTGCATCTTTGTTTGGAAAATTATTTTACTGATTACAGGATGAGCCAAATGTACTGTAAATCTAGCATCTTTAATGCATAAGTCAGTTTGTCAACCGGCATACAAATTCCACGTGTTGCAGATAATGAAAAGGAATATATGGTGGCACGTTTTTGCTGAAAATAGGTTTCTACACGGAAGGAAACAAGTCTATTGCTGAGTATTATTTACAACAAAAAAAAAACAAAAAACTAAGTCCCACAAAATTGTACATACACTTAAACCAAGCCTGCACAATATGCGGCCCGCGGGCCGTACCCACTTGGCGGCCCGTGAAGTAACGAAATATTCGTTATTCTTATTATTTTCTTAAAAAGGTTTTCCCCCTGTCTTATTTTCTGTTGACCCGCATACGTTTTTCATAAAGTATTTCAGCCCGAGTTAATTTTGAGTTGCTCAGGCCTGACTTAAATTATTGCTATCTTAGCCCACAATGATGAACACTTAGTTTCAAAGCGTACATTATTTTAACTAATATAAAAAAAAAATATCCCTCTCTTTGGTTGCCAGGACTGTTTCCAAAAAGAGCGGACGAGCGGGAGAGGAGTGGTGTTAAGTATATATCTTTTTTTTTTCTTCTTTTTTTTTTAAACAATTAAATTAAATAATTCCTTATCGCCTTATCGCTTACATGTCAATACTAAAAACAAGCCATCACAAAGCAAAACCAAAACCAAGTAATTTGGCTGTCAACGCTATGAAAACTATTTTCTCCGCGGATAGACACTGATCCAACATAATTAGTCAAACATATTTTTTTTCTTTTTAATACTAGGAACACTTTGCTATTGGAGTTATGCATTATTGAAAAAAAGTAGTGCTACTTTTGCGCATTCAGTAATCGAATGGCAGCAAAATAGTTCAATGCGGCATTTTGCTTGGGCTTGTAAAAAACGTATAAGACCTCACCGTTGCTTGATTATTTGAGATCAGACTGTATTTTAAAATAACACATATTATAGATTATTTAAATTTACTTAAATATTTTAAATGAAATATGAATACATTGAATTCTAACAAAATTGAATTTAGTTCCACACTCATAACATAAATGTTTCTTAGAAAGAAAACAACAACATGATTTAATGTTTATTGTCACAATGAAAGTGAAAAAAAAATCACAGAAGTATCATAGTAGCCATACGTTTCTTTATGTTTAAGTAAATGTATAAATCGTATTTATTGTGTGGATCTTTTTTTCTATTATGAAACATGACGTAAATACATATATATATTTTTTTTTAATGAAACATGTTGCACTTAATAACAAACTATTGAATCGTTTAAGCCTTGATTATTCGATCAAGAAACTAGTTTGTACATTTATCAAATAGCATTGTCTCTTTTCTGTAAACGTAAACCAGTGTTAAACGTAGTTTCATTATTAATTTAATTCGCTTTGATTTATTGTCACGCCTATGGCAAAGGTAAATAATGCCGTATTCACACTAATAATTATCTGTTCAATCGTTCCCTTTTATTACTTAACACAATGATGGATATGCTGTTACATTTAAAAGGAAAATTATGCTTACATATCCCTTTTATTTGAATTGACGGTGAGTTTAATGTATATTTCTATTAAGTCCGATATTAAGATAGTTGGATAGTAAGCAGTATTTTGTCATGAGTAATAATTGGTTTCTCCTTTATTTTTATTTTTTTTTTTAAATTCTACATATAAATGAAAATAAATTTATTTATACCTTAAAAGTGTTTAATCTATTTAAATTGTTCGCCAAGAAATCAAAGCTTTTACCATTTAACCAAATAAGAAACACAGTGTCCTCGTTTTATAGCCATTTTCATTGTTTCTATTGTATAGTAGTTACTATCTTAGTGTCTCATTTTTATTTTACTTAGTTTACATGTTTTTAATAATTGTAAAGCGCTTAGAGCTTTATGGTAAGCGCTATATAAAAATGCCTAAATAAATAAATAAATAAATAATTTCCCAAAATCATACAAACAAAGACCATACGAAAATAATGCTTAAGAGTTTTTTGGAATTTTAAAATATCAAATTATTTTACTAAAAGACACGGCTAAATAATACTTAATTTGTATATCTAAAGTAATGAAGAACACAAAAATGCACAATTAGTCTATTAACATTTTCTAAAAAAATAGGCAATTTTAATCCATAAATTCGAGAGTAATAAAATAAAGGCACTGATTGTAACTTAAATTTAAATAAATTTATTCAAATTAAATAGAATGAATCGAATGGGCTGTATGTAAATAATCACACTAAAATGTATATGTTGGCTATTTTATGTGTTTCATTTTATTTTTTGCTTCATCAAATTGTATGACAGGTATAATAAAGACACAAACAAACTTTGTTGCAATTTACATATTTTTTCACGATAATCCTTTTCCTATTCAATTATATTAATGATTTCTAGTTTATTATTTTAATGATTTGTTATCTTGAGTACAGGGGTTGATGGCCTACAGAAAGACTATCTTACTTTCTCCTTACTTAAATAACTATTTAAATTCTGATTATAGCATGTAGTGATTAACAGAATTAACTTAAGAGAAACAATTCTCTTACAAAGATACCATTAATTTGGATCTTATCTTTTGTTTTGTTTCCCGTTTTTTTAAAGCAACTATTTATTTTTGTTCATTTAATTAAAGAATTTTAGGGTGAAAGTCTAAATAAGCACAAATAAGCACGATGGACAAAAACATTAATAACAATAATAATAATCTGAAAATCCAGAAATGCAACGTTATTTAATTGAATACATTTGTAACGCTAAACATCATTGAAATATTTTTAAATTTCAATAAATCGTTAAAAAAAGAACCATCCACAAGTGTCGAAGTAAACCAATTCGTTGAGAAAAAGAATTATTTAAAGAATTTACAAAATTATCGACAACATTTTTTTAAAAATATATAATAAAAGACACTTTATATTTTAAATATTTTTCTCACAGTTTAAAACTGATACATTGTAATTCGCTGCAACCCTGCTCAAAAATGAAGTAATATATTTAACTCATAGACTTAATGCCTTCAGTTGAGTTATTAAGTATAGGTGTATCTAGTCCTGTTCAGATCGATATTTTCGCTTAACCAAACAAACAATCAATCGAACCAATCAACAAACACATTTTACACAGGCGTACATTTTTCAAATATCATTTTTTTTTTTAAAATCATCCGAGCCTATAAAATATCAAATGTGAACATTTTCCTGTCTTAGAAAACGAAATTGTAATCCGCGTATTGGCCATTAGCACACTAGGATCAAGTGAGTAAGATGAAGAGCATGCCGAAAAGGCGTCTGCAAAACGTTATTGACTCCACTGCGGGATTGACTTTAAAACAGTCCGGCAGATTTTTTCGTTGAAAATTTAAAAAAAAAAAAAAAAAAAAAAATCAAAAAAAAAAAAAAACCCCCACCCCCCCCCCCCCCCCCACCCCCAAAAAAAAAAAAAAAAAAAAAAAAACGCAATTTCTGTCTCAGGGACTTAATATCCCCAACCAGTATCAACGCAAAATCTTCAAAGGATTCTCAAATTGACCAATTTTTCTGGAATCACTTCCCAAACCTACCTTAAAAGTTTTCCATTCATCTTAAATAAGGCTAACGAATACACTTTTTGTAGCATAATCTTGTCTCACTTTGCAACGATTTAACTACTATTCATACTTTACAAATGAATTTTCATTTGGTCATTTAAAAGATAGGAGTATCTACATCACTTTGCGGTAGTCAACGGTTGGTAAATCATTTACTAATTAACATATAAATTCAAGGAAAAGAAAAACTTCGTTTTAATTCCCATGCTTTTTGGAGGTCTTTGGTAGATTAATATTATTACATTATGCGTACTAGTCTTTTTTTTAAATTTTAAAGTTCAATGCACAAAATGTCGATACTTTATTCAACATTTTCTAATTTCAATATAGACATTTATCGAACATATAACCATAGAAAAGAATAAAAATGAAGAATATTTAAAAAAAAATAACTTTAACGAAGTACTTATTAGAAAAAAAAATGCAGGTTATTTTACCTCCCAATACTACGAAAAGATTATGAATTTACCCAACAATGCCGTCTCTCCATAAAAATAACAAAAATGAGCTAGGAAGACTGAACCCCTTCTGAATCAACGTTCCTTGGCCACTGGCTCAGATTGTCCGTTGAATTATTATTATTATTATTTTTTTTAATTTATTTTTTTGCAATACCCTCACTAAATATATAAACTAGTAGACGCATCAAATCTACAAAACAATTTAAAAATCAAAGAAAGGGGAATGCTGTCCTCTCGGAGTATACATTTCAACTAATTTTTGTAACTTTCCTTATGTAATATGTTGATGGTGTTTGTTCACTAAAGGAAGTCTTTTAGATGTATTCAAATGTTGTGGAGAATATGAACAAAAACACAAAAAAGGCTGACATAAAACCACAAACGACAAATACATTCATGATCCAAACCATGATTATGTATGTATGTTTTGCAATTTGATATTTTTAGGCCCTTAAAATGAATAAACAAGCACACTTTTAACTTCATAAAGCTTTTGTTTCTTTTAGTCATAAGATAAACGAGTCATTTAGCTTCTCATTGATATCTGACTAAGATATTATGCCAAAATTGTATACACTGAGTCTCTACCAATCTTGTAGTCTAGAGTTAAATTCCCACCAAACACACAATCAGGAAAAGATATCAACAGCACCCTGGGTGGATGGGACCAGTTAAACTTGTATGTCAACCGATCTAAGCGAAGAACAACTCTGAAGTAGACACCGAAATGGCATCCTGTAGTCGTATAACATTGATACATTTATACATTCTTACAATTTCTACTGCGCTATTAATGCCGAGCTGTATCATCCGAACATGACGTTTTCTTGGGCTATCCAGGTGCGAGGAGAGAGTCGATGTTCTGTCCAGAGAACAAGCTCATACTTCTAAATAAAAACCCTGCAAATTCTACACCATTATCATATTATGACAAAAGTATGTCATAAATACATATATATATATAAGAAATGCGTTTTAAAACTTCACCAAATTAAATGTACACTGTAATAAATTCATCATCTTATTTGTCATCTTGTAAAAATAATATGGTTGTTCATTTGTTTCCAAAATGTCATATGTTAATTGGGTGAAAAAATACGACGTTCCAAAAAAAAAATTTTTTTGCACAATTACAACGATATATTTACATTAAAAATTTAAAAAAAAAAAAATACATACAATTATACAAAATCTCTTATAATATGCACCTATAAAAGAAATTTGTCAGTGGAACAACACATCCGCAATAATTTACAGCCATTAACTAAAAACCTACTTGTTGAAGTCTTCGATATTTACCCATTTTAAAAGGGAGAAACATTTTCGCGTTAGCAGCTAATCTTACGTGGTAAATGAAAATATGAATAGATCTTTGATCCACCATTCACCATTTTTTATCCAAATTTCTGCATGTTATAATTATTTCTCTCAATTCATAATGATTAAGTTTTTTGGTAATAAAACTAGGAAATCATTTCACGCTTTTCCTTTACACTTAAGTAAATTCTAGATACTTACTGTACACTCAGTTATTGAAA